CCCACGGAAATTGTGAATATTGTGTCTTTTTTAAAGTGTTGTCTTTGTCTATTTATCCCCCTTCCCTTGTCTGTTGGGAGCCGCCCGGAGTCCTCCGGGAGTGGGCGGCATACAAGACAAATAAATGAAATGAAATGAATGAATAGGGAGTAGGATTGGATTTCCAGAGGAAAAAAAATGCAGAATAGAGGAACCAGGAGCACCACTCAGGTGACTCTGAGGACACAGATAAACCTCCAGGTGGCCTCAACGACCCTCTTCAAAGATGCAAATGACCAGCTATGTGCAAGGAGGAGGAGGGCGGTGGGATCCTTGGTGTTTTCTGAGCTTGGTAATTTTCTTAAAGACGTTTCATGACCCAACTAGGTAACATCATCAGTGCTAGAAGGGAGCAGGGTTTGCAGATTGAAGAAGAGGAAGGGGGGGAGGAGGAAGAAGAGGAGGACTGTGGGTCAAAGAAGGCTGGTGTTTTATCAGTGGTTCTCTTGAGTCCTAGTTACACCCTGAGTTGTGGCTTAAGGAACAACAGCTGCTAACCCTTGGCTTTCAGATTGGACCGGTGGAAGAGCCCAATGATACAGGGAGGGGGAAAAAACATATAAATGTTAAGGCACAAAGAATTGTGAGTTCAAAGACATGCATTTTAGAAACACCCATCACAGCGTTTCCCTTAGAAATAGGACATTCGTCCTGGAACCAAAGCCATTTCGTCAGAAATCGGCCCTGAAAAAGTTTGTCAAAGGGATCAGGCGGAACGGTGGGGGACGAGAATTAAGTGGAGAGATGAATTCATGCTTTTCGTGCAACCGATAAAAAGGGGGGAATCGGGAAGCCGAGAGAGGGAAATCGACCCCATTCAGTGCCGAGATAGATTAATTTGAAAGCTTCTTAGGAGCAAATGGGAGACAATGCAGCCGGGGAAATGCAAGCCTTGGGTAGGCAAGATGTTATCGGCTTCCAGAGCAGACTGCTATTCAAGGCAGAGGCAGGGGAAGAAATTGCTCTCCGTCACCAATTCCTACGCAAGGTTTTCTCCAAGAAATGGAAAGAAGGCCCGCAAAAAGGGGGGGGGGGGGCGTAATGACACATTGCAAAAGAGCTTGAGTAAGCAAAGTGGTCTTTTAGCACAGTGTTTTTCAACCTTGGCAACTTGAAGATGTCTGGACTTCAACTCCCAGAATTCCCCAGCCAGCATTCGCTGGCTGGGGAATTCTGGG